TGTTCCCACTCTATAACTCTTAAATCGCTTGAGATAGCGATTTGAAATTTGGAAGGGTTAATGTAGGCTGAATATCCATTTTTTGACAACATGTAGCCAATGGCTCTTCCGGTTTGAATGGAAACGATAGTAACTTTGCAATTTTAAATGACACAGCTTTTTTGCATTTTTGGATTCAGGAGATAATCTCTACATAGGATAGGATGGTTTTCCTCTTTTTTTTTCTGTTTTTTAAAATTTTTGGTTAATTATTGAAAATTGTATCTACGAGGCTGTAGTCATCATAAATACTATTTACCGTGTCACCTGTTCATGGGAAAAATTGTAAATGAAACTTTTCTTTACTTGTATAATTTCCCGCTAAGCGAGCGGCAATACGCTTACCAACCGGGAAAATCAACGGATCTAGCTCTGGATGAGCTAAATAGGCTGCTCTCCAAGACACTGGAAGACAAGGAGATAGCTGTGGCAACCTTTCTAGACATAGAAGGGGTGTTCAACCACGCCTCAACAAACTCGATCACAAAAGCCTTGGAAAGGAGAAGAGCTCCAAAAACGCTGTGCAAATGGGTAAAAAAGAGTCTAAGGAACCGGACCATAATATGCACACAAGGACAGACCACCATAAAGGCAGCAGTGGGGAGGGGCTGTCCACAAGGAGGAATACTCTCTCCTCTGCTATGGGCCATATTGGTGGACGACCTACTGCAAAAACTCTCTGCAAAAGGCTTCTACTGCGTAGGATATGCAGACGACGTAGTGATTGTGGTACGCGGAAAATTTACCAACACCCTGTCAGAGAGCAGTCAGGAGGCTATTAAAATCGTGGAAAACTGGTGTCAAAACGAGCGGCTAACAGTTAACCCGAAGAAAACGATAGTCGTTCCATTTACCAATAGGAGAATCCTCACATTACTGAAACCGCCGGTGGTAGATGGAACAAGGCTACAGTTCTCCAGGGAGGTAAAATATTTGGGAGTCATATTTGACCAAAAACTTATCTGTAGAGCGCACATTCAAAAGATCACGCTTAAGGCAACAATTGCACTAGGTAGATGCAGAAGGATGTGTGGAAAGAACTGGGGCTTAAACCCAAAAATGATACTGTGGTTGTATGTAGCAGTAGTGAGACCAATGTTAGCGTATGGGGCGACTGTCTGGTGGGTGGGTGGACAAGAACCATGCAGGGGGAGGCGATAAGGCGACTGAGTAGCTTGCAAAGACTAGCGAGTCTGTGCGCTTCGGGGGCCATGAGGACAACGCCCACTGCAGCGCTGGAAGTCCTACTGAACAGCCCACCAATACAGATCTATATACAAGGGGAAGCAAGATCCGTAGTATATAGATTACTGCAAGTATATAGATTACTGCGTAGTATATAGATTACTGAAAACGGGCCACCAATCAAGGCAGAAAAAACCTGGTATGCTGATGACTCAAAAACTCAAGAAGGAGTAGGAGCCGGAATATATGAACCCAGGACGAAAAGGAAAATCTCTATTCCAATGGGTAAGCTAGCAACAGTATTCAAGCAGATATCACTGCACTAGAATACTGTGCAAGAGAAATAAAAGCGAGGAAGATCCGTAACAAATCAATTGCAATTTACACCGATAGTCAAGGGCTATAAAGGCCCTGCAATCTAATAAAATAACATCCTATTTAGTTCTGGGCTGCCATAAGGCATTAAATGAGATAGCAAATCAGAACAAAGTTACTCTATCATGGGTACCGGGGCACGGAGAGCATAAAGGTAGCAGAACCTTTTTATGGGGTGGCCAAACCCGTTGCAAAAACAGCCATCAGGGATTGGATGGACCGAAAATCCCGACGATGGTGGAGGGACATGCCGGGACAAAGACAGGTCAAGGAATTCCTAAGGGGCCAATCGGTCAATTTTACAGCGGACCTACTAAGCCGCAATAGGAAAGCCGCAAGAATAATGGTAGGTCTGCTGACGGGCCACTGCAGGTTTAGGAGACATCTACGCCTGATGGAAGTGGAAGAAAACACAGAATGTAGATTCTGTCAGGAAGAGGAGGAAACAGCCGCTCACGTACTGTGCCACTGCGAAGACCTACCGAAAGTGCGTTTCCATCTGCTGGGCGATACCAAACCAGAGGCAGAGAGCTATACGAAGGAGCTATTATCGAAGTTGTGGAGTCTGGTTAGAGAGACGAACCTGGATAAAGCTCAATAGCTATGGAGAGAGTCGCAATAGATCCTCTGGGTCGCAGTGACGGACAGGCTGACTGCTAGCTCTCCCAACTGTTAATCTTAATCTTATACTGTCTAATGGCAACCTAGTTTTTTAAAATAGCACCCCAGTAGGAATAAAAACTTTTAAAAACCGGAACTTTTTGTAACATTTCGACACCAAAATTTTCAAAACCCGTAATAACCAGATAAGTAAATACATTTTTATAAAAACAAAATATTACTTGCTTCTCTTCATTATCGAGTCAGCATGATTGAAAATTCTGACAGTTTGTACATTTTTATCTGATTATCGATTTTGTCGTGTTATCGATTTGGATTAACATGGAAAACAATAGTCAACTTCAATAAGCATGACGAGAATAATAATTTTGTTCACTGATGAGTCACGATTCTCAAATAATGTTAAGTTTAACCGACAGAACAACAGATACTGGTCTTTAAATAATCAAAGAATTATTCGTCCCGGGCAGTTTCACGAACGGCTCGGAGTCAATGTTTGGGCAGGAGTGATAGGAAGGCGAATTATGGGACTTGTTCCTTTTAATGATGCCTTAACTGATTAACACGATATTTACCATTCCTAAGAAATGAAATTAAAGACTCGTTGAATGATCTACTTACCGTGACATTAAATGTGTAAAGTTACTGTCGGTTCCGTTCAAACCGGAAGTGTAACCATTGACTACATATCCCACATTCTTGTGTCACCCGGTAGATAAAATGTTTAGCTGTTTATTTTTTGTTTCTAACTTAGTTGCTAATATTCGTGATGAGATATACTGAGATTCGCCGATGTTGTAGATGTATTTTTTTTTAAATTGCTATGGCTACTCCTTCATTTGCACGTTCCTCTTTATTTACTCCACTATACCCTACTATGAATTTGACCAGCAATAGCTCCTTTCTCTTTTTTTTAGTCTCTTGTAGATCACAGATATCATTGCTATTATCTTTTAATTCGGATATAGTTTCTTGTTCTTTACTTTTTAGCGCTTTATATTCCAGGTAGCACAGCGTAGCATACAGTTCTTTCGTCTCTAATTTGTCATCCTTTTTCTCTCATGGTCCGTCTCATTTAAATCAGTCCTTTTCCGAGGTTGGATTTCGGGTACCTTTTTTTTTTCTGAAGGGGAAAATACTTTTACGTACGCCCAATGGGTAGTGTGGGACTCGACCGGGATTCCGGTAATACCCACTAAAAACCACCTCCTATGTGCCCTTGTCTCCATCACGGTATCACCGAATCTGGCATGCGTCTTGATGGGGTTGGCAGCTGGGAACTATTCTAGGGCTAGCTGACTGCGTTCTTCTGCTCCTTTTGTTTGTATCACCTCCCTAATAAGTACATGCATGTCGCGCCAATGGTTTTCACTCTCCATCATAATGTCTACAATGTTCAGTGCGGTTGGTTGAACGCCGATTTGCGCCTCCAGCCTTCTTCGAGCGATACCGAAGCTAGGGCACTCCAAGAGTGTGTGCTCCGCGGTGTCCCTCTTTCCGCAGTAGATGCAGAGATCATCTGGTGTTTTGCCAATTCTGTATGTATAGGCTCTGAAAGATCCATGCCCGGATAGAAATTGGGTGATAAAATAGTATATTCTTCTAAAATCGCATGAAATCCAGGAACTTAAGCGTGTGATAAGGATTTTGGTCCACGAAGCTACAGATGTGGTTTCATCCCATCGGGTCTGCCACTCTTGGATTGTCTGCTCTCTCTCCGTGCGTGAGGAGCTTCCGCGGTCGAACGCCCTCTTGCGCTCCTTGATCAACAGGTCTATTGGGACTACCCCCGAGATCTCATATAGTGCCTCCGTAGAAGTAGTCCTATAGGCGCTAGTCACTCGCAGCAGCATTCGTCTCTGCAGCGAGGTTACCATTTTCCTGTACTTGTCGGCGCGCATGACTCCCGACCATATAGGGGCTCCATACGTGACTATAGACTGTACGACTCCGTTCACCAGATATCTTCCCTGGCTTCCGAGACCGCTGACGTTCGGCATTATTTTAGTCAGAGCGGTCACCATACCTTCGGCCTTCTTCACCGTCTGTCGGATGTGTTCCGAGAAGAATTGCCTATCGTCCAGCCAAATCCCCAAGTATTTTACGAATTTTTCACGGGCTTATGTCCACGTGTTCCATGTTGAACCCGACTTGTTCCCTATCTTTCCTTATTCAGGGACTTCTAAGCAATACGGATTCTGTTTTATGAGGGGCGATTTCCAATTGGTTTTGTCTCATCCACTCCGTTATTGTATTAATTGCACTGTTTGTTCTGCGCATCAGGCTGTGCTCGTCTTCGCTGTTTGTCACCAGCACCAAGTCATCGGCATAAGCCACGCTGTGACCGTTTTCTGGCAGTGGCAATCTTAGCACCCCATCGTACAGGACGTTCCACAGTGTGGGACAGAGTACCAAACCCTGCGACATATTTCGGTTGCGGAGGCTGGAGCAAACAACCCTCTCATTGAAGTAGTTTTCAATAATCTTGATGAGGTAGGGGCTAACGCCCAACCCCTGCAGTCTGTCGATTATTTTACTCCAGGTAGCCACGTTGAAGGCGTTCTTGACGTCGATCATAACTTTTTTTTTTCCCGAGGGGATTAGGAAATCTGCATACAGACACCTCGCCTGGTGTTCTGGCGGTTGAGGTAGTGTCGGGGTGGTGTCCTTGTCGATAGATCACCGACCGACTAAAACCCTTCCCCCTCGTTTTCGTACCCCAGGATAGTGGAATCGTCCTAGCGGACATGCTTCACTAGCCCGGTTGTCACCCCTATGTTTCATCCGTCTCCTCCCGCAAGTTCGACACTCTTCGACTTCATGATATCAATAATGCATTTCTGTATTGCTCCCCACTTTTCGGCCGTGTCCAGCATGCCTTCCACCACGCTCGCCGGAGTCAGAGCTTCTGGCTCTCCCCCGAGGGTTTCGCATATCCGCAGCCTCTGCGTGGTCCAGCGTAGGCAGCTGATCAGCGTGTGCTCCGCACTGTCCTCTCTATCGCAGTAAAAACATTTAGTGTCGGTTTTGCCTAGTCTATTTGTGTAGACCTTGAAGTGGCCATGTCCGGTGAGTACTTGTGTAAAATGGTAGTCCAACTGCCGGTGCCTGCACCTCCTCCATTTGTCTATGCTTGGGATCAGTGCTCTGGTCCATCTCCCCACGGTGGATGCTTCCCATCTGCTTTACCATTCTTGGTTCGTCCGCTCCTTCGCCCTTTGTTTTGCACCTGGGCCACTGCCTTCTTGGGCAGCGTATCTCCTCTCCTCCACTATTAAATCCACAGGGGGGAAACCCGTTATAACCTGGACTGCTGCGCTGGAGACCGTTCTGTAGCCGCACGCCACCCTTAGGAGTGCTTTTCTTTGTACGCTTTCCAGTATTTTACGGTATGTCTTTATCTTCATTACAGGACTCCATATAGGTGCGGCATACACAATTGTGGACTGCACAACTCCATACAATATCCCCCTCTTTTCCGTATTTGGACCTTTGTAGTTTGGCATTAGTCTTGCGACTGACGCTAACTTCTTGGTTGCCTTTTGCGAGACCACTCTAACATGCTCCCCGAAAGAGATGTTTTCACCAATCAGGACGCCTAAATATTTTATAGCCTTAGCTGGCTTGATTACTTGGTCATTTACATTAATCTGGATATCCTGTCGATTCCTGCGTCCACTCAAAATGACCCCCTCCGTCTTTTCCACAGCTAGTTCCAGGTTATTTGCCTGGAGCCACTTTACGACCTGCTGGAGCGCATGGTTTGCATTTAGAGTCAATTTTTGTTTGTTTTCACCTTGTACTACTATGGCTACATCGTCAGCATAGCCTACGACGCTGGTCCCTGGGCCAAACTCCAATCTTAATATATCGTCATAGTATACATTCCATAGTAACGGGCCCAGTACAGATCCTTGGGGGATTCCTGCGGATACTTTTTTCTTCTGTTTTCCAAACAGTATGACTCTATCGTCTAAGTAGTCTCTAACCAAGTCGATTAGGTATTGTGGCAACCTATTTCTTCTTAGTTTTTTAAGGAGTATCGCCCACGATGCCGAATTAAAAGCGTTTTTCACATCAATAGTGATTAGCATACACCATCTTTCGCCTTTGCCTCGGAATTTTACTCCCTCTTCCAGGATCATCACCGCGTTTATTGCGTCTAGGGTGGACATGCCTTTTTTAAATCCATACTGTTTTGCCGATATTCGTAAATTTTTTGCCAGTTCTTTTTCCAGTCTGTCCTTTATAAGGTGTTCGTACAGTTTCGCGATTGAGTTTACCAGGCACAAGGGTCTATACGAATTTGCGCCCTCAAAAGGTTTACCACTTTTGTGGATCAATACCACTTTTATTAGTTTCCATGAAGTGGGGAATTCCTGTCTTGTCAATGAGTTATTATAAAGATCCCGCAGTATTGTCGGCTCGTCTTTTGCCAGTCTCTTGATTACCTCTGGTGGAATACCGTCTGGGCCGGACGCTTTCCTCACTTTTAACTTGGCTGCTGCTGTGGCTATTTCTTGCGTGCGGAAGAGCGGTATCTCGCTTGTGTATATGGGGGTCAGCAGATTCTCGCTCCTGTCTGGAAAAAGTGTTTCCACTATCTGCTTCATCCCAGAGTCGGGAAGTGTAAATGGAGGACCAGCCTCTGTGAAGTTTTTCTTAATTATCTTATACCCTTCTCCCCAGATGTCATCGTTTAGCTCTTCCAGTAGTAGTCGCCACCTTTTCTTCTTTTCTTTGGAGATCATTTTCCTCAGTCCGTTCCTCACCTCTTTGTATACTTGCCACATTTCCGTGAGTACGCCATTTACCTCTCTTGTGCTCCTATGTTTTGCTGCCCTGGTGTAGACTCTCCTTTTCGCTATGCACTCCTTTCTTTTGTTTGCAATATCCTGGTTCCACCAGTACGGTACCGTTGACATTGCTGCGCCCCCCTTCTTAGATTTTTTAACTGCTTTTTTGAGCATTTCTTCCAGTGAGAGTGGATCCAGTGGCATCGTTTTGCATGTAGTGGTGAGTTTTTCTCTTAAATTAGTGAGTAATCTATCCTGGTCCAGGTACAGTTTACGTCGCATTTCCATCTTTTTTGGGGTATGGCCTTTAACTTCGAAAAATATGTACTTATGTGGAGAAAGGGATCGTGAAGAAGGGACGTCGATCATAACTGCAGCTGCCCATTTTCTGTGGCCGTCGTTGGCGAGACTAAGCACCCGTTTGACTGCATCAATTGTTGACCTCCCCTTTCTGAAGCCGTATTGTGTGTTGTATGTTAGTGCCCCGCGTTCTTCCATTTCGTGCTCGAACCTGGCCTTGATGACGTGCTCGTAGAGCTTGCCTTGAGAGTCCAGGAGACAGATGGGTCGGTACGACACTTTATCTTCGTCGGCCGAGCCCTTGGAGATAAGCGTCACGTTCGCTTTTTTCGATTTGCTCGGGAATGTTTGCGAGCTAATAATAGTGTTCATGAGGCAAAGAATAGTGTCTGGAGCAGCGGTCAGAGACTCTTTAACTTCCTCTGGAGTGATTTTATCCGGGCCAGGAGCTTTACCTGCTTTAAGTTTCCTTGCGGCCTCCTGTATTTCGTTAATGGTGATTGGTTCCGGGGAGTACCTTTTGGTGTCTCTGCACCACCAGTCCGCCTTCCTAGGGAAAAGTTTAGCTACGACTAGGTCCTTTTCTCCTGAGCTAAGGTTAAATTGTACTATCGGGCCTTTAAGTTGTCTGGTTACTAATTTGTAACCTTGGCCCCAGACGTCATTCTCCAACTGATCGCACAGCGACTTCCAGTGAAGCTTCTTCGACCTCAGAATAGCTGTCCTGCACCCTTTCTTTGCATTCTTGTACTCGGTTTCCAGGTTGGTTAGTGCCGGTGGCTCTGCGTGGCCTGTCCTGGCTCTCGCTAAGTTCTCCTGGCTTTGTTGCACTTCGTTCTATTATGCGCTATCTCATCGTTCCACCAGTACGGTTCTTTGCGCCTGTGGTTGTTTGCATTAGACCCTGTTGCGAAACTTTGGGAGGCGTGGATGGCACGTGTGACGGAGTTGACGTCTGGATCCTTCTCTGGGAGAAGCATAAGAATGGCGTCCCTGAACGCGTCCTTCTTGAATGAGGTCTTTGTCTTCATTTCCGGGTTTCGGGTACCTAGGCAGATATTGTGTTCTATCTTGGGTAACTATTCTACTATTCCACTGGTGTGTCATGTACAGCAAGTGCGTGGTTTAAAAATAAATTGAGCAGCAAATAAAGTGGGACACCCAAGAAGTTGCTTAATTTTGACTAGAGTATGTTTCTAAATGCGCGAGAGTAGTTTAATGTAAATTTGCATTAAATAGGGTGAACAACTTAAAGGTACTAGAAGGTTTTTCAAAATTCGGTATTTCCGTTTTCACGCCTCGAGTCGTTCCTAAATTAGGGTCACACTAATTTGTTTACAAAAAAAGACGAGTTTTTTGAATTTAAATTTTGAATAATGTGACAGCGCCGTTACTACAGGTAGTTTACTCGAATAATAAATATAATTTTAATTATACATGAATTTTACTATAGAGATTGGCAGATAATTAAGCTGCTAATTATTAAGTAATTAAAATCTATAGAAAATATAACAAATGTAATGAGTATTATAATTTCAAAAATCCTTTGTTTACAATAAAATTTTGTAATTTTTCCAGAGAATTTAAAAAATTGCCAGTAATTGCGACTTAAAAATAATATTTTTTCATAAATCGCGCGCACCCTGTATAATGGACGAAAACTGTAAATCCGAAAGTTGTAGTTCGGGATAAAATTTACCGTAATCTTTAAACCAAATTATCCCATCATTTACTATTTTTCATTTACTAATAACATTTTATCGGCAAAACGGCAATTTTTAAGGTCATGTAGATAGTTTTGGCCATACTCGACACACCCTGTACATAAGCCAAAAAATGCAAGAAATAAAAGTTATAGCCCAGAATCTGCCACGTTTCATGATGCATGAATTTTTCCAACAATTTTTTTTTCAAAACCTATTGAGCCAAAAAATGGTGAATATCTCGAACAGCGTGTGTGATAGATGAAAATCGTAACTCCCAATATGGCTTACAAGATGGTGCAAACCAAATTTTTTCGTTTTTATCTATTTTTTTTTTATTTACGGTCAATGTACCCCCGAAAGAGTAAATTGTCCGGGATTTTTGATTTTTTGCGTATGGCGTGGGGTATCGCGTCAAACGCTTTTTTGCAATTACTATTATTATTCTTTTTTAATTAACGGATTCCTGTTAAACGAAATACTGACTTATCTTCCTAATTGATATCAAACACGACGCGTTATTTTCAGCTTCGTATAGATATTAAATCTTCTACGAAATCAATTTTTCCATTTTCATCGAAAAAATATTACTATGAAATACTTCCCTACTTGTCTTTCAACTTCATAAAAACATTCCTCTCAATAAACGGAAACAATTTCGATATATTCAATTGCTTTTGTTTGGCACATTTGTCTCCAAAATTGATGTTATTGTTGTTTGGAGCCGTTATGTTGTATGTAACTCCGTATTTGCAGTATTTGAGCTCTTATTGTTGTTATTGTGCTCTTATTATAGATTGGTAAAACGAATATATTTGTGACTTCCTTTTCTTTGTTTAAAGATTAAAAAAAAAAATCACAGTACAAACGAGAATAAAGCATTTCTAGCAGAAATGTTTCTACTAGTTCTACCCTACTTACAAATAAGCTAGAGGCAGAAAAGTTATAACTACTTAAATTCGTTCGTTAAATTCGAACGAGACAAAAATAAATTATTTGAAATTGTCTGATTCCATAAACAAGAAAATACAATAAAACTTTTATTTTGAAAACACCAGATGGAGACAAAATCCTTAATATCACTATTCTGAAAAAAGCGTTACCTCTAGGATACGTTGACATCATTCGATAGATAATTGAAAAGTAAGTTGCTTGGAAAGTTCAGAAATATGATGTTCCATTTAAATTAATCAAATTATACCTTTTTGGTCACCCTGTTTAAGATAAGTTTTTTTTTTAAATTGGAATTTAACATTTTGCTGGCATAATTTAAACACTTCTTGTGTATGGGCCAACAAATGAAAAATAATAACAGATTAACGGATTACCAAATTTTATAACATTCAAACAAAATATCTACTAGTTGCCATTTTACCTATTCGTTTATCGTTCCCATCGTTTCTGCTATTGTTGTCTCTTTTTAACTGTATACGTTACACAGTGAGGTGTATTACATTATATATACAAAGGAATAAAAACAATTTTAAAACGTTATGTTGTTTAACTTTTACAACTGATCATTAAGTAGTTTGTTGGAAGAAAAATCCAAAAACACATCTCTCTCTCTCTCTCTCTAACGTGCACAGTTCAAAAGAGACAACAATAGCAGGACCTATCGCAACTATAAACGAATATATTTAATGGCAACTAGCATATTATGCAACAAGTGCGGTAAACGGCATTTGACGAGTTTATTTGACAAGAGCGGAGCGAGTGTTTAATAAACGAGTGATTTAAAAAGTTTACCGAACGTGTTGCATACTATACTTTTTCTACGACCATTAGTTTTTGGATACACTTTCGCAAAACAACACGAATACATTCACTGACATGGCCGTCAGAATTAACTAACGTTAAAATTCAAGGCGTGGGAAATATCTCCGAAAATATCCGATTGCTCCATGCGGTAAAATCCCGGAAATGTCCCAAGTGCCTCGGATCGGTGGGAAACGAAACTGACGTGGTAAAGAGACACTTTCCTCACGCTAGCTCAGTGTGAAATTAGGTATTTTACAGATGAGGGTAGAAAAAGCTAATTGAAACACACTTATATTGCCCGAAGAATCTAAAATTTCTGTTATAACCCCTACTTAGTAATTTTAAAAAGTAACCTAGAAGCAAAGTTTTTTGAAAATTTTGTATTTTGGTCACAATCTTCCAGGCAGTATGCCGTGAATAACTATGTATATAATCATATAACAAAAAAAATGTTTCAGATATTGTTCCAATTCTATGGGACCACAATGACCATTTTTATACATAGAACCAATTTGTTGAAGCAGACGCTTTTAAAGTCTGTAAATGCAAATTCTGCAACAAACTTACAAAAGGATAACTTTACTGTTTTTTCGACTGCCATATTTGTACAAAATTCTTGCTCTGGTTCCATAGACCTGACTCACATATGTCAAAATGGGACCATTTAACAACTCGCCTTTATATATAAAAACTAGCTTTCCAGGCAGACTTCGTACTACCGCAATTGCTAAATCAAAGGCTTAAAAACAAACAAAACCAATCCGAATTTAATAAAAAAGCATTTTTTGAAAGAAGCATGAAGTTTTATTATTTATCACATCATGTTGGTTACTTACAAAACAGAATTTTCCTGAATTACTTGGAATGTCACTATCACAAAGGATCACCAAAGTAAAGAAAGTTCTCCCGCAAGTTCTTCATTTTACATATTTTCAAGAATGTGCTCTTAAGCAAACAAAAATAAGAAACGTCGGGACCTGATTGCATTCCGGCTTTTGCTTTAAAGGACTCTGCGAGTGTCCTTGCTATACCACTTACAGTTCTACTGAATGAGCTAAAGAGCTAAACCCATTTACAAAAAGGTGACAATTTAGATATAAGTAATTTTAGTCCCATTTCGATACTTTGCAATTTTTCTAAGGTTTTTGAAGCACTCCTGTTCAATAGATTATACAATCATTTAAAAAACAGTATAACATCAAAGCAACATAGTTTTATGAAAGAGCGGTCTACCGTCACTAATATCACCCAAGTTATAGCTGAAAATGTAGACTCGCGATCTGGAACTGATGTTTTTCGAAGGCGTTTGACAGACTTGATCATGGGATACTTATTTCTAAGTTAAATGATTACGGATTATCGTCACCTATAATCAATTGGTTTTCATCTTATCTAATAGATCGGCGGCAGTTTGTTATATTTAGCGGACTCAAGTCTGTAGAATATGAACCAACATCCCCCTTCAACTTAATATTTTTATTAATGGTATTGTCGAAGGTGTAGATGTTGAATGTAATGCGCATTGAAAACTGGTGTGTGCATAATACTTGCCGTTAAATCCCATCACATGTAATGTCATGACGTATTCAATTAAAGTAATATTATCAGATATGATTACCGAGTTAATGACATCCTACTTCAGCGTCCAGTTACTTTTGTCGATCTAGGTGTCACTTTTGACACTAAGCTTGTCAGTTAAATCCAATCAAATGTAATGTCATGACGTATTCACTTAAAGTAATATTATCAGACATGATTACCGAATCAATGACATCATACATCAGCGTCCAGCTACTATGTTGATCTAGGTGTCACTTTTGACACTAAACTTTCTTTCATTCCACATATTGACTCTGCTGTGTCTGCCGCGAATAAAATGTACGGGTTTATAGCACGGAACTCTCGAGACTTAACAGATTTAGAAACTTGAAAGACTCTGTACTAAGCATTTGTGAGATCTAAATTAGAATACGGTGCTATTATATGGAGTCCGTTTTACCAAGTTCATTCAAGGAAGCTGGAATGTATACCACAAAAATTCTTGAAACACTTTTCTTTCAGGCATGATAATGAGTAATGAAAAAATGATTTATAATCGATTTGTTAATCCGGGCCACTTATCAAAATTGAACTTTGGTGTTTCCAGAGTTACCTTAAGAGTAGATCAAATCTTTTACCTTACTACGCCCCGTGCGAATATTTTAAAATTTTCTCCTTTACACAGAATGTGCGATGTGTGCAACTCGGTAAGTTTCCAGCTTGATATATTTATTTTCTTCTTTTGTAAGTGACTTTAAAACAAGTTTTGTAAGGAATGGCATTGTTGTATTTTACGTTGTATTAGCACTTTGCTGTCCGTTTGCTTTTTTTTATAATTTTTTACTTCTGTCCCTGTTCTGTAGTTGGGTTGGTCCTGTTGAATAGTGTATCTCAATAAATAAATAAATAAATATAGTAACACAATATTGTAATACTTTTTTACGTGTTCCGAAGTGCGACAGGATAGATTGGCATATTGGTGGGTTGTCAAATCTAGTGTCAAATATTATTCTTGCATTCAGAAATTTGAT